CTCCTCCTCCTCCTCCTCCTCCTCACTAAAGGTTGAATCCAGTTTAGTCGAACTCTGGTGTGTTTGTTTGATTGGCGTCGGCGGAGACTGATGCAAAAAGTAAAAATTGATAGTGAATGACAGCGATGAAAAAGATGAGTTTTACTAATTGATTTATTATTTCAAAAGTTGGCAAATAAACAAAAAAAGCTTGGAGTTTTTCAGAACGAAAGTAACTGAAAATGTTGAAAATGTGCCGACCTGTGCCCGAAACACACACAGACCTTATTTATTGTTGATTGTTATCTGTCTTTGATAATCCACAACAACAAAAACTGCCTGATAAAGAAAAGTCATAGTCATAGAAACAGCAGTTCTGTAGCTTATTTAAAAATCTTCGATTCTCTACATTTTGCCGTCTTTCTAAGCCATTCGCTTGTAGACCCGAAAGCAGGAAACGTCGTTGGCGATGGAGGTCTAATAAGGAGAAAACATCAAAATCGAAACAGAAGCAAAACAAAACAAAGTCTAACTTAAAACCTCAGCAAAACACAACGGAAAATTCCCAATCCCACTCACCACCCGAATCTCATCGCCGGCAAACTCGCGAATGTACTTGATCACCAGGCTGCCATCGGTCTGCGTCTGAATGAACTTATTGCCCTGCTGCTCCACCGTGCTCTTCACCACCTTCCCGTCCAGCCGTTGCTCGTCGAACTCCTCATTCAACTTGAAGGTGGTAGTGGCGCGGGTGAATGGAGCGCTAGTGGTGATGGTGATGTTGTTGTTCTCATCTCGGGTAATGTCCAACACCGGGTAGCTGGCGTTGGCGAGCTTCCGCTTGATCATGCCGATGCCTGGAGTGAAAGAAGAATGAAAAAAAATGGTTCAAGGTCATCGGTTTAAAATTACTTCGAAAATCGCTTACCANACCAATCTCTCTGAGGAAGCCGTCAAAGTTTTCGCTGGTGGCCAGCTTGAAGCGGCCTAGGTAGCTGTCCTTGACATTGTTTTCCGGCTGTTTTGATGATGAAGTCGTCGTCGCTGCAGCTGAAGAACTCTTTTGCTCGGTGGTGGCCATGATGATGATTCTACTTTCTGATTCTAAACACTTTAGTTGGTCATTCAAAAAGAAAGGGACTATATCACAATTTGAAAAGTTACTGCTACAAACTACTGACGATCACGGATTGAACTTGTACAAAAGATGTTTTTTGTTGAAAAACTGAGAATTCGTTGAATTTTTCTCAAACAGCCTCACAAACACAGCAAACACACTAATTTACACCGCACCACTTTTCGACCACCAATCACTTCGATGGTGAGAGCTCAAATGACAGGTGAGCGCTGGCGTGGTGGTGCCCTTGCC